GGTGGGACTTTCCATTTAGCCAGCGCTCAATATGATACTGGCCTATGATGACATACTGATCAATTCTGGGAGGGTTTTTACTGTAATTATCTTACAATTACTTCTCAGGATCTAGCATGGTTGCTGCCTGGCCATTCTTAGTGCAAAATTGATTTCTTTTTCACGCCTTTTGCAATTCATTATTGTTATTATTATTTTGCTTTGCATGTAACAGCAATCCTAGCAGACCTGCCTGCTCCCAGCATCCTGGAAGCCACTGTTATACTTTGTCCTTGACAAGCGTTGTTAGAGAAACAGATTTTCAGTTGCTGTTGCAACATGTTCCACAGTTGAAAGTGATCTGCAGTGAGTTGTTGGTTTAAGTCATATAAATAAAATGCAGTCCTGAAGGAAGGGGAATCGTAGGCTCATTTCTTCTGAACCAGAAGGCCTCTTATTTTAAGATTTCCCTCCCGTTGCCTTGAAGAATGCATCAAAAATTTAATGATGTCCTCCTTGTCACATGATAACAGGCCCCTTCACTGTTGTCAGACGGGGCTTCTTCTCACCTTGAGGCGATTCCTTGTACTGATGATGTTCTTGTAGGAGGCTCCCACTCATTTTTAGTGCTGATGAATGCAGAGCTGGAAAACATTCCTTTTTTTCTTTTTCTTTTTACTATGCTTTCCAAAATTCTTGCAGCATAACCAGCAACCATGCCATGTGTGAGAGCATATGTGTGTGCAAGCTGTAGCCCCAAAAGATAAATTTTCCAGGTTCAAGGCTGCCTGTCAGTCAGTCATGTCTTAATGTCCAACTTAATGACTGCAGGGACTGCATCTTGGCTGTCTGTATAAGTGTGCTTCGTACATTGCACTGCCCAATTCGGATTTAGGCAAGTTTGTAAATTCATTTCTCAATTCTTGAATCCTATCTTCTTGTTTTCTATCATTCCCCATCTTGTATATACCATATTATTGATTCAATTATTTAATGTTATGATGTTTTTATGGTTTTTATGATATTTTATGATATTTGTAAGCCGCCCTGAGTAGACGCTGTCTGGGGGGTGGGGTAGAAATCAAATAAATAAATAAATAACTAATATGATTCTTTCATTTCATACCTGCTGCTTTTCTCCTATTCCCTCTTAAAGTGTGTGTGCGTGCACATGCACACACAAACACACAAACACACACACACACACACACACACACACACACACACGTATGCACATGCTCCTCAGCTGAATTAATCTGAAACTTCTGTATTGTGCTAGAGCCTTTACATGAGCAGGGGATAAGAGTGGGAGACTGGTCTGTGCTTGACCAGATCAAACCAGCAGCTTAGCGGGCATTCCTTCTTTTCTTCAGTAAGTAAACTGGGAACTTCATGTAACTTAGTTTAGGCTGAGTGGTGTAAGGAGTGATAATGAAGCAGAAGAGATGCCCTACAGTATTTTGATCAGGTGCCCTATCCTTCACAAAATAAATAATTAACAAAGGTTTCTCTGTTTTCCAGTTCTGTGCCTAGTGTGTTGTCACTGCTTGGTGCAAAATGGTGGCATTCCTAGAAGGCATAGTTGATCCCACTAATTTTTCTTAAAAGTGAGCCCACCCATATTGCTCTCCTTTTTGGTGTCAGGCTCTGTGGCTGCTCCTGTTGGGGAGGGCAGTGTTCAGTAGCAGTTCAAAGTGTGAGATGGGAAGCCTCTCTTTCAGATCTCAGCTCTTTCATGAAAAAAAGCAAGTGCCCTTTCTCAAACCATTCTCTTATCAACCTCAGCCACTCCCCTAATGGAAAATAATACTGGACTACCTTGCAAAGACGGTTTAAGGGTGTTTTTTAGATAATATACTCTGAAGCTCTTTGAACTCTTGAAAACACACTGTACAGATCAGAACTTTACTCCTGGGGCTGAATCTGGCCCTCCCGGGATCATGTTGTGGCCCTCTGAGGTTCCCCAATCGCCTTGATGCCATCATTTACTGGTTTCCTCATTTTTTAAAAATCATTTTAAAAGCCAGAAATTTCTCTCTAAAGACTTGGTTCCTGGCAGTAAGAGCTTTAAGCTAAACTATGCTGGTTTTGGCCCTGTGGTTTTGTTTTTGGCATGACCGAATGCAGAAATGTAAGCCCACCACCCACCCTGGTTTTCTGAAATTCAGTTTTGCCTTCTGGGCTGGAAGAGATTTCCTACCTGTGTTATAAATGACTTGCTATCTGTGCCACTGTTATAGCCCATGCTCATTGTGAGGAACTAACCCCAAATGGGTGTGCTACAGGATATTTTTATGCAGACTTGCCTAGACAGGATGTCAGAGGCAGCAGTTTCTTTGCATGGGGTAAGGATACAGCTGGATTCCCAAAGTTGACCTTCCCCTGTTCATCCACCCTGTACCATAGGCAATATCAGAGGGTGGGACCAGACAGAAGAATTTGTCTTTCAACCCATGGAATGTTGTGATAATTCACTTGGAATACCCTAGTATACCTGTCAGAATACAGTGTCACCACTTCAGGGTAGTGATGACAGGGACATCTGCTCAAAGACGGAACTTTTTCTGGTCCTTCCAGCTAGATCAGTTTTTCTTCTCACTTCTGGGCAATTTCTCAGATATGACAAAGGAGCGCATATGTGTTCCTATACATCAGGGGTGTGGAAATGTCAGCTTGTAGGCTGGATACAACTTGTGCTGGGGGGGGGTAGGGGGAAGGTGTTGCCAGTCAGCTTGCTAGTTTCTGCCCCTTGCAGAGTGACTTTCATCTCTATGCCTAGAACAGTCCCTGTCTTCCTTCTCCTCCATCTGTTCCTGTGAACAAAGATGAATATCAGAGAGAGGCTTTTTAAGGAATATGATGGATACTCCAGAGCTACCTCTCTGTGCTAAAAATGGTTGATTTAAATGTATTGTAAAGAACATAAATTTTTATTTCTGGTTTGCAACCTACATATTGGGGATATGCCATATACTTTTCAGACTGTAAATATTTACTTTTCTGGACTACAACTGCAAGAATCTGTCATGTTGGCTAGAGCATTCTAGAAGGTATAATCCAGAAAAGTGAATTTTCCAAGCTTGGGAGTTGATAAGGTTGGATACCCAGGATTTCCCAATGTTGAAACTGGATGCATGTGTGTACCGTCAGCCTTCTGCTTGATTCCAAGCTGATTAGAATTTATTTATGTATCAGCTACATTTCTATCATATCTTATTTTCTTTGAGTTCAAGGTAGCCTACCTGGTTCTCCTTTTCCTGAGTTTATCATCATAAAAATTATGTGACACAAGAGAGTAACTGGTTCAGAGTTCCTAAGTGTTTGAAATTCTGTTGCTTTGCATAGTAAGTTGCATTTTTTTTTGTTCAATTTTTATACATCCATTCAATGAAAAGCCATTGCCCTGAGTAGTTTATAACCACCATCCCAACAAGCAAACAATAAACTTGAATGCAAACAACAAAATAAAAGACAACAACAATAAAGCTATATGGTGACAACTGAAGTAAATAATACAAATGAGACTTGATAGCGAAATGCTGTAAGGGAAGAATATTACTAAAGGCTCTGTCTTAAAGAGCTTTGCCTTGACTAGCTTATGAAAGGTCTGGAAGGAGGGGGCTGGCGAACCTTTGATGAGAGTGAGTTCCACAAAGATGGAGCCACCACTGATTACTAGTTAACCCCTTCCAGGCCTCCTTTGGTGTAGATATCAATAGCAGCAAGACTTGAGAGGAATGGGTAACACAGGCAGCAGTTCTTTGGGAGAGATGCTCCAATAGGTATCAGGGTACCAAACCATTTAGGGCTTTGTATGTCAGCATCAACACTAACATTAGAGGAGGTCTATTTAATCAATGGGACTTATGGAGGAGTGGACTCACAAATCCCCATTAATTTAGTGGACCTGCTCTAGTGCCACTTACTGTGCTAAGCAACAGGATTTCAGCCAGTGAATTTCATTGAAGACTTGAACCCGGTTGTTCCACATTGCAGTCCAAAACCCAACCATTGCACCACACTGGCAGGAGTGATCCATAGCAATCAATACCAATTTTGGTAGACATCAGAAATGTACAATTATATAAGCATGCTCCCACTGTAAATAGCAGTAGTCCCTCAACAAACCTTATCACATATATGACTGCTTTTGTCAACCACAGTTGTACTGTTGCCTGCCATTAAAAGCTAAACCAAATTTTGTCACTTGCTCAATAATGTTTGCAGTAGATGCAGTTCCTAAGGGGCAAATTCCTTGATTAATGATATGTGATTTCTTCCCTCTGTCTTGTATTTCTTTGTTTTAGACAAACATGGGGGTTGTGCATTTTGGCATGTGTGAGTAATCTTTTTCCATAGGCATGTTTATTTGTGTGACTGTAATAAACAGAATGGACAATATCGTGTTTCCTTTTTGGCCCTTGCTGGCAGCAAAGCTGACCATGCAATCATATATTTTTAGGGTATATATTTTAATTGTACTGTATTTTAATTATCTTATCTTTTTATTGTATTTTAATTGTTGTAAGCCGCCCAGAGACCTTTGGGTAGTGTGGGCAGCATATAAGTTAAATAAACAAATAAACAGACAAACAAATATTTTGTCTGAACACCTCCAGGTTCAAATGCAGCTAAGGCTGAGTTGCAGTGGTGCTCATTGTAAGCAAACAAGGTTTTGAACTATACACAGCTGCCATGCAGGATCTGCGGTTGCCTTTCCAGTGCAGGAGCAATGCAGAGAAAACCAGTTTCTCTGGGTGATGAGCAAAATAGATGGGAACTTAACAACTTATAGCCACACAAGGAGAAGCTGAAGGGGCACCATTCATGCACTTCTGCTTTAGAAGACCTTCAGTAAGAAAAAGAATGGAGGATTTCTTCTAAAAATTGCAATTCTAGTTTGGAATACTTCCTGCTGAATCCTAACATCTGTGACTGTGAGCAGCAGTAGTTCCAAAGGGAGTGACACTTCCTCTCCTTTATCTTTCATCATTTTATATGGCCTCTCTTTAATATTTCAGGTATTGAGCTGTGCCCTCCAAGTCACCGTTTTATGATAACAATGGTGGCCAGCTTTGTGGCAATGGCAGGACAATTCCTCATGCCGGGTTTAGCTGCTCTCTGCCGGGACTGGCAAATTCTCCAGGCTGTCATCATCTGCCCTTTCCTGCTGATGTTACTGTACTGGTTGTAAGTATCTGCATGTTTTCTATTCTTAGAACTGTTTACTAACAGGGACGGAGGGAGAGAGCCATGCTACATTACAAAGGAGACATGGAGTTCCCTCAGTTAGGTCAACCTAATTTCTCCCTCACTTCTATTTTTAGTGTGGACAGGAGGGGAGGCTTAATCCTTCCCCTACCTGAACTGGGGAGGGGGACATACCTGGAGTGTGGAGAGGAATTGGCAGGCACAGGAAGAGTTAAGCATCCTTCTCCTGTCAGTGGCTCCCCTATTCCTTGCAGTTCTAGTTATCTAAAAAAAAACGGGGCTTATCCCAGTGCTTTGCCAACCTAACATGTAGTTTGGCTCCTGAAGTCCTCTGAGATTCTACCTGAATTGTAAACTTTATATTCTCCCCACCACTCTTTTAGTTAAATAAAATTATAACAACGAAAGGTTGACATAAACTCCAGAGGACCCGTGTGATAAAGTTTACAAACGTTTTCTTAAACAAAGCCCAGGCATATCTGCACACTATTTTTTTGATCATTCTTTCTCCTAGGTATGAGGGAATCTAGGGATCTCAGCAGCTCCACATCTACAGTTCCCAAGATTCATAACAATTGAACTGGTGAAAAATAAGCTATGCCAAGCATGTTGGTGGCTTTAGTTTGCCACTTGGCTGGTTTTACAAATGAGTGCATGTTTGTATAATTAGATATACTCATATCTGCAACTAATCAGTCAGTGATTAACCTTTTTTGGTCAGAAAGAGACAGCAGGCCTGCATTACATAATTGCTGTTGTCTTAAATTTGTGGGGTGTGTGGATACAAAAGTGGCTGGACATTTTAGCAATGCAGTATCTGCTGCTGGGCCCGTTGCACTTATTCCCCACCACTACCAAGTCTTTTCGTTCAATATATATGTACAAATTTCTCTTCATTCTCCACCACACTCACTACCACCCCATCAGTGTGCTCTTATTTCTGGTATAAGTCAATAAATTCTGCCTCTGCTGGTGATAGTTACGAGGTCTGTGCAACTGTCTATGTTGAGCTTCTCAGAAAATAAAAGTGTACCCTAGAAACAAAATGAAGATTTTTTTAGGCTAGCTCATGCTAAATGTTCTCATAAGAAAAAAAACAGTAAACCCACAGCCATCCATAGTTACAAACCTGCAAATGCAAACACAGTTCTGTCCCTAGCCAGTACTCCCCGCGAGCGAGCGCGCGCACGCACGCATGCACACACACACACACACACACACAGCGCTGCATTGCTGCGTGTTCTGTTTCTGTCTATTGTTTCTGTCAGGTTGGTGCTCCCTTCTTCTCTATTTACTTGGTATGTTGCCATGCCTTGAAGCTGCTGCTGATAACAACGCTGAAAGAACACATTGCTTTCTTGACTTTCCATGTCAATTATCAGCAAATAACTGGGAGGCGAAGAAAGGGTTAGAATTAATTTACATGGTTTATGTTCAAAAGCATCCCCGATTCAGGCGCATTCCTCAAACATATACAACTGTTTTAATAGAATGCATACTCAACAATTTTGTTTGTAGCATGGATCTACCCACTCAAACTGAAATCAAGTTTCATGAGTTTCCATTAAAGGAAGTTTCTCTGGAATACTTCCATCTCTATTTTCTCCAATTCACAAAGGGCACGCCAGTCATGTTTTGCAGATAAGCCGCTACCTGTGATGGAAGCAAATTTGCCCAACCTTATTTGTTCTAGAAATGAACATGTATCTGTCTATGTACCTGAAACTGGCCTAACCTAGGGATGTGAGATTTACTCTGTGGTTAAAGTTTGACCTCTCTTCCAGCCCTTTGACATCTCCCAAACCATCAGCAATTAATCAGGGGAGTAGGAGGTTGAAGTCATGCACAGCATTATTTATACTAAGGCCTGGCAAAAGAAGGCTAAATCAATCTAAGTCTGTCACAGGAAACAAGCAGCAGCAAAGTAACCCTTTCCAAATAGTGAACAGCTTGAAGGGGCAGCAAGCCAAACTGCCCTTGGCCACTTCTAGGGACTGCAGCTCAAGATCCTCAATCAGAGTGAAGTCAAGTCAGAGTCAAGCCAGCCTGCTGGCTGGGGGATTCTGGGAGTTCTAATTTAAAATGTAGCTTGTGTAAGCTCTGCCAGAAGTGAGTAGCAACCTCAGTGTGCTTCCTTAAGGTGCTTTCTGCCTGCTGTCTTGATATCTGGCATGTGGCTCAAAACGGGAATGTGATTGGTCCATGAAGTAAAACTGGCTCCTTCACTTAAAGCAAGGGTGGTTAACCTGTGGCCCTCCAGATTTTGTTAGACTACAACTCCCATCATCTTTCATCATTGGCCGTGCTGGCTAAGCTTGATGGGTGTTTTAGTCCACTGGCATCTGGACGGTCACATGTTGTCCACCCTTGGCTTAAAACGAAGTGTAGCAAACTCCATGGAGTACATTGCTGAAGAAAACATACACCTCAGCATTGTTCTTGTGGTAGCTGAAACTTTAATAAATAGACTCTTTGGAACCAAACCTCCACTAATGCTTCCTTTCTCCTCAAAGTTTTTTTCCAGAATCCCTTCGGTGGCTGATGGCCACCCAACAGTTTAAAGCTGCAAAAAAACTCATTCTTCACTTAACCCGCAGGAACAGAGCAAACACAGAATGTGATATCAAAGGAGTAATGCCCGGTGAGTGTTCATAACTGTAGATGAGATGAGATATCCAGACTATTAAAAATAACAGAAGTACTGCATAATTTTTCAGATCAATTCCGTCGGTTGCTGTTTCTTTGAAGATGACAGTTTCTTCACTCTGGCTTGTGGTTCTATTCTCATAATTTTGTTGGACATGTAGACTAGTCTGCCGTTTGTGTTTAGGATATCCACACAACAAATACAGGAAGGGAAATTGTGCTTCTGAGTTTCCTTGGAATGAAGAAGTGAATAATAGTTGATTTAACTGTTTCTTTGAAGATGACAGTTTCTTCACTCATAATTTCGTTGGACATGTAGACTAGTCTGCCATTTATGTTTAGGATATCCACACAACAAATATAGGAAGGGAATTGTGCTTCTGAGTTTCCTTGGAATGTAGAAGTGAATAATAGTTGATTTAAGAAAGCTATATATGTTTACTTCCACCTGCAAGACTGAACACTCATCCGTACTGCCTCACACTTCATCTGATTCTGCTAAAATATGCTTCTAGGCTTTCTTCTGGGCCTTCTTTTCCTACTGCATTGCTTCCTGAGAGGAAGCTGCCATAAGGAAGGTGGTAGTCTCTTCACTCTTTGTGCTCAATAGAGGGCATCTTGAGAAGAACCATCATGCCCAAGAACCAACATTGCAGCGGCTGTCTCTCAGGAGGGATTGCAGCAGGAAATAAGGCCTAGAGAAAAAGGCCTCAGGTTTTGTGCAGGTGACTGACATGAAGGTGTCTGCAGGTATGAGTTTGTAAGCAGGAATACCCAGAATTCTGCCTGGAGAATTCCTGGAAAGTTCTGGAAGTTGGAGTCTTGACATGAAGGTGTCTGCAGGTATGAGTTTGCAAGCAGGAATACCGAGAATTCTACCTGGAGAATTCCTGGAAAGTTCTGGGAGTTGGAGTCTAAAAAAGCTAACGGCACACCCCAATGGCAAATACAGTTTTATATGAAAACCCTGTGTCAGGGTGAATGATGGATGGGAGCCTTCTCTCTGGTAGGCCAATTTTGCACCTGGAAGGTTTTTTAAAATGCCCATCTGTAATCTGGAGAGGTGCAGTCCAGAGATAAATGTATCATGTGGGACTGCTGGGACTTGTGTGGCTTGGCCCTCCAACGCTAATTGGCGAGAAGGGTGGAATGTCTGTGGGGAATTTTTTAACTTCACTGATACCTTCTGTACACAGAGAGGAATGCCCAGGGGAGGGCTCAGAGGAGACACCCCTTTTAAACAAGCTAGCTTTCCAGCTACATTTCTGTAACATTTGCAGGGATTCTCCTCTTCACCATCTGTTCTCCCTCCGTATCTGTTGTACAGTATTGTAGTTATCTGATTCTGGCATCCACTTCAGCTGAACTTGTGCATGGTGTACTTGTTTATAGCAACATAAGGACTACAGAAATCCTTTGCCTGCTGGATTTTACAAAGCCAGGTTGTTCCTAACTCCCTCCTCCCCCACCCCCAAAAGGCAGACCATCCACAGCTTTGTGAGGGTAGGCTGGAAATACTGAGAGAATGATAGCAGTGTAAAAACAACTTTTACGAAGTGTGTATTTAATGGGTGCTGAAACACTGCAAGTGGAATAGAATGAGCAGTCAACAAGATATGGCCCTTAGGTTAAAAAAAAGTCTAAAAAAATACACAATTCAACACAGAAAAAACAAACAAATATTTTTTCCCTGTGCTTGGGGAAATTACTTTAAAGGACTACGTTTCCCAAAATTATGAAGGCAGCATTACCAGTAGCCAAGCTGAGTTGGAGTTGTTCAGAGGTATAGTCTTTAGCTGTGTTTCCCCTCCACGATCTAAGCAGCATAAGAGGACAGAAAATGCTTTGTTAAAAAATGAGGATCTAAGCCTTCTGTTAGTTACTTTGATGTGCCATTTTAAAGACGAAGCCACACTAAGATCGGTGCATCTTTGTGAAGTGGGTACACACAAAAACTATTTTAAGCCTGGGGTTTTATATTAATACCTCCCAAAGAACATTTGATGGGTGTAGCTAGAATATAATCAATTCTTAGTGTCTTAAAAATGGAATAATGGCCAATTGGCCTTTTAATATACAGTACAGACACATTGAAGCACATAACATATTAAAAGTGCTCTATATATGGTGAATAATACTAATACTGTAAAAGCTTGAGCATATAAAACACTGTAAATTTACAAATATGGGTGATAAAACAACAATCCTGTGTTTCCATTTTGCTGGCCCATGTTGATGATACAGTAATACACAACTCTATATTTAGTCTCTCAGGAGGAAGCAGTCTTGGTGATGCTAAATAGTCTTGACTCTGCACGATGGGCCAGAGACTACTTGGGAAGCCATATGCTCTGCCTTGAGTTCCATCACAAAGGAATGGATGTCAGTGTCATCAGAACAGCAGCACAGAAAGATAGTAGAACAGATAGACAGCGCAAAAGAGGATCCTAGTGATATTATTATACCCTGAAGTCTGCCATTGTTTCACAGAGCTAGGTTTGAGTATATGCTGTAGCTTGATATATTTGTCGCCATATCTTCCCTCCCCTGCAGGCAAGTTTTTATGTTAATTCTCCTTACAGAATCCAAGGAGAATTTTGAAAGACGCAGGAAAGTTCACTAGTCACAATTAACATTACCTCTCTTTTCCCTGTAATTTTATGGTAATATGGGGGGGGGGAATCAGATATGCTGCATATGTGGCGTGTGCTGCCTAAGTTGCTTGTAAGATACTGTGTTATTTGAGGCTTGTTCTCTCCCTTTGAATGTTATGGTTTATCTGTTTGAAAGTTTTTCCTGCTGTGTCATTGAATTGGAATGGCTACAAACATTAGTCCCTGTGGTGTACAGGAAAGCCTATAATAAAGTTTGTGAGATGATGAGTATAACATCTTTTTCCTTTCTGGACTTTTCTTCATATCACTCTGAGGGAAAATGTCAATGGCATTTCCTGTGTTTGTGGGGTCTTTGGGGTTGAAGTTAACTAGTTTTGCATTTAAGAATAGCTCATGTTTCCACATTTTGCCAAAGATCAAGTATTAGTTCTATTCACTGTGACATGACAACACAGTCTTTAAAAAAGGGGGGGGAAGGACCATCCAGTATTCATGATGCAATATAAGAGCCTTCAAGATGCACAGAACTCTTCACGGGAATTTTAAAGCTTAAAGAGAAAACCATGGTTTTGGTTGGAGTGTTCAAGCCCCTCTGCAATTTGTTTCAGTCAAAGGAGGCTAGTGGGGGAAATACTTGCACACGAATTAGTTTAGAATTATGTAAAAGGCATTAGATTATGCAAAAGTATGTTAGCACAGTTCATGGGGTGATTACTTACAGTCTCTGCACAAAACATCTCTTGGAATAAAATGGTATCCCTTTCTGTAGTTCTTTTCACCCTTTTTTTTAATTGGGAAAGGAGAGGTGGTTGAAAACCTTACTTTTTCAGACACTACCTCTCAGGCCACAGTGGCAAAGAGATTCTGAAAACTGTAATCCAGAAGAAGGCTTTCCCAAGCTTGGGTAGGGGGCTTTGAAACAGTCACGTCATTTTCCCCACCAACATGCCTCTAGCCTTACTTCCAAGGAGAAAGGAAGGACAAAAAGATGGATGGATGGATGGATGGATGGATGGATGGAAGGACAAAAATATGGATGGATGGATGGATGGATGGATGGATGGATGGATGGATGGATGGATGGATGGATGGATGGATGGATGGATGGATGGATGGATGGATGGATGGATGGATGGATGGATGGATGGTGGCTCCTGCCTTTTCTTAAGCCTCCGTGTACACATGTACCTATAAGTATACCAGATTTGTAAGTGAACAGTTCGGAATGCCTGTATATTATGCTGGGGTGCATGTGATTAGAAAGTAGTGGGGAGGAGTCTATTGTGTGAACCTTTTTTTAAGAGTAGAGTTGGTTAGAGCTGAAAGGGGGGCAGTCTGTTTTAGAGTCAGTCAGGAGAAGTTGTTTGTACTAGAGTTTATTGGGAAACATCTGTCTAGAGAGCCTAGAGGGTATGTATTAAAAAGCTGGAGAGGCTGTGAAGGAGCTGTTTTGATCTTGAATTACAGAAAGAACATATTCACATTTTACTATCTTAGATCCTACCTGTCTCTGTGTGCCAGTTATCTGTGCAGCCTCGTAAAATCATTTTTGTTTGTTTAAAGCAAACTCTTAGTATTTGTTGTGTGTGTAACTAAGGAGAAGTAAAACAAAGTGCAGGTAAGAATACACCCATGTCACAAAAAACTAGATGTTACCAATAGGAACAAAGTGATTTATTAAAACAGAAAATACCCTTTCACTATACACTTGAATAATAAAAGATACCACCTTGGGTCAAGGAGGCGGTGTCTGGGGGCTGAGTAGAAGGAGCAGCCCCAAAATATTTGGCATTTCAAGGTGGTTGTCCTTTGGGGCTAATGCCTTCCTTAATGACAACAAGGAGTGATAGGTAGGTTTAAAGTGTTCAAACGTGCTAAAAGTGTCCCTGTGACCACACAAAATGTGTGTGAGGTGATAGTGTAAAAATCACTGGGGAAAAAATTAATTGTCACATCCTTAGGAAGAAATGTTGCTATGTGGAGCAAAGCAACAAAATCTTTCCTCAAAGGTGGGAAACTTGCAAGGCTCTGGATACACTTGTATTGCAAGTCTCATTAGTCCTAAGCACTAAACAGTGTCATCAGAAATGTCACTAGACTGCTTCCTCTCCCATTCTGAACCCCTTAAAGATAGGATGGGAATTGTTCGGTCTCAGGCCACATGTAGCCTCCAGCAACATTTTTGAAAACAGTTGGCCCCAGCTGCCAAGACGATCTTTTTTAAATTTTTATTTAATTTTTATTTTGCCAGGGGCAAATATTTTGAGTGTCTGCTCCTGGAAGCTTTCTAGAACCGCCATAAAAAAAAGGTGCAGACTCCCTGTTCCTTGTTTTGCCCCCAACATTCCAAACAAGGGAAAACTGGAAGTGAGTGGTTTCACAAGGGACCTGGTGGAGTCAGTGGGTGGTCTTGGATTCAAAATATTGGCTACTGGAGCTTTCTCACCTGTATCATAAAATTAAGAAAAAGTACCATCTGTCTAATGCACATGGGTTCCTGAACACAATTCCTATTCACTGAAAGCAACCAAGCAAATTACTATGCAGAAATTTTTAAGGCTGTGTAGCTCACTGAGATAAAAGAAACTGTTATGTCAAGCTATGTGTGAATGTATGAGGAGTTGGACAGGGAAAGCAGGGACAGGATTCAAGTCAAGTAAGAGTGCATATGTGGGATTAAAATTCAGAGAGAGGTATCACACTCCTCTTTGTACCTCACACCACAGGTATCTGTAATAGCAAAAGCAAAGTGTGCTGCTTATATACCGCCCCATAGCACTTCAAGCACTCTCTGGACGGTTTACAAGTTAATTATGCAGGCTACACATTGCCCCCCCAGCAAGCTGGGTAATTTTACCGACCTCGGAAGGATAGAAGGCGGAGTCAACCTTGAGCCGGCTACCTGGGATTGAACCGCGGGTCGTGAGCACAGTTTTGGCTGCAGTACAGCGGTTTAACCACTGCGCCACGAGGCAAACTCACAATTCACGCAGAGTTCAGTGTTTTATGGAACCTTGAAGGAAAAGGTTAGAGAACTCTGATCCAAGCATCTATATTGCTGCTGGGCTGCTTGGTGTCATTCTAAAATTAATGTCTTTTGAAGAAATAAAATGTGGCTTTTGTTTCAGAGCTGGAGAAAGAACTTGCCAGGAGGCCGAAGAAGGTTTGCATTGTGAAAGTGGTGGGAACCAGGAACCTGTGGAAAAACATTGTTGTGCTCTGTGTCAATTCGTAAGTACTACCATGCTCCAGCCCTGGTATATTATTCATATCTGTCTAAAGACAGTGAGAACATGGGGAATGATTTATATTTTATTTCAGCAGCTGGAAGCCAGTGTCTTTGATAGGATCTTAAGTGAATAGTAGGAAATGAATCTGAATCAGACTTGAACTCAAAATGGATCAAAAGACTCCCCTCACAAGATAAATCGAGATACCGCCTCCTGCTGCTTCTCCATTGTAAAGGTGTGATTCACAGTGGATTAAAAAGACAGGGTACTTTAACCTTTCCTCTGTCACTCACTTTTGCCATCCCATTCCCCAAAGCTTTCTCTAATTTTCCAGCCAATGTTTGTGGGTGAGAAACCCCAGCTGGGGAAAATGGTTTTGGAGGGAAGAGTTAGGCAAATCATTCACCTGCCTGCCGCTGCCTCTGCGTAACATGTAGTGTTATGTTTCAGCTGCATTAATCTGATAATGAATGTTGTCAGCCCTTATCAAGCACTCTGAAGTAACCTTTAAAAAGATATGCGAGCAAAACCATAAAAGCACTATGTAAAATCAATAATAAATGATATACAGAAGAATCCTGTTGGTAAATGTGGAGCATGAGAAATTTGCAGCTGCTTGGGGATCTGGAGCTTGCAGTTACACAAGACAAAGATTGACCCATTAAAAACAGTGAGGGATTCTGCTTGCTCGAGAGGTTATCATCAGACAGAGAGAAATTTCACACACAGAATGGACCATTCTGTGCCCAGCTGGCTCTTGGTGCTGCGGTCATCAAGTTGTCCGAGGAGGACACATCACTTACCGCACAACATTTGGAAGATTTGCAGCGTGGTTTCTGTGAATATTTTCCCTCACAGACCTCCTATGAGGACCTCATGCCCCCCCCCAAGGGATCCACAGACCACAGGTTAAAACCTACAGTATACCTTAGAAGATTGTCTTTAAAAGATGAAGATGCTATCCAGTAAAATAATGATGATAAGAATGCTCATTAGGATATCTGATGGTCTGGAGCATGCTTTCAGTTTCCTACTTAGTTTCCTGCTTTTCCTCAAACTTCACAGGAGTAGAATAAATTATGCAAATTAAGCAATTGTGTGTGAGATCACTTAATAGGCATGAAATGTAGAGGCCACATAATAGCTTAGATGTTCATCACAGAAGATTTTATAACCTTAGTTACATTTAATATAGTGCTGGCTCTGATAATGGGTAGACTGCACCCACCTCTTCCACCCCAGATCTGCTCCTCGTACCCAGAGCCAGTGGGCAAAAGACACCATTGTGCAGTTCGTGCCTTTGCTTCTCTTCTAGTTGTAAGGGTAAGCCGCAGGGAGACTAGTCCGACACTTTTTCTCCTGCATTACTTCTTCATGTTCTGCCTCCCTCAGACTCACTGGCTTTGGAATCCACCACTGCTTTGCCAAGAGCATGATGGGCCATGAAGACAAGATGTCACTCACAAACAATTTCTATGCGGATTATTATACCATGGCCGGGATTACTCTGGCCTCCTGCCTGGCCATGTGCCCAGTGGTTGGGTTCCTCGGGCGAAGAGGGGGATTGCTGCTCTTCATGATCCTCACAGCTTTGGCTTCGCTTTTGCAACTAGGCCTTCTCAACTGTGAGTGTGTAAATTAAACCACTGCCTTGTGTGTACATACTATTTATTGAACATCAGGTTTCAGATTTGCACAGTTTCAGGTCCACAGCTGGTCATAGCTGCTGATGGTCTTATGGAGCCATGAGATACTAATATCGTTGGCCCACTGCTGTGGAGTCTGGACAGTCTAAAAGGTACAGCATACAGGGTAGGGGGAAGGCAAATCTTAAGTAGATGTAGGCCCTTGGTTCTTTCCTTCCTTGCAGTTGATGTGCACTAGGAGTGGACAATATCTAGTCCTCCAGGTGTTATTCAGCTGAAGATCTCATTCTCTCTTGTGACTGGCTGTGATGACTAGGGCTGGCATGAGTTACAGGCCAGCAACATTGGAAAGGTCATGATTTGCTCTTCTGCACAGTATAGATTTTAAACCTTTCCCTGCCCACTTCATGGTGGCTGATTGTGTACCTCTCTGCTTTAATATGAAGCAACCATTTGCCACATACTTCCTACCAATTGTATGGAGTATCCTTGTCAATTTTGAAGCTCTGATTATTCACTAACAGTACTGCTGAGGAAAAGTAGCCACAGGATCAGAATTAGACAGTCTTGGAGAGACTTTTGCCACTAAATTTATAAGAAAGGGGTTAAAAAAAATTCAGGACTCTGTATTGCTGGAGACCGTACAGACTGGACCTTGTTAGGGCAAAATGAATGTTTCACTTCAAATGCTCCCAATCTCTGTAGCTGCTTCCTCTGATCACATCTTTAATGGCAACATCTGGTGAGGGCCAGGCTTTCTGAGCAAAAGAGCAAATTGCAATCAGACGGTCCTGCTGTGTGTCAGTTTTGATTAGCTATATTGCACACTGCTTATTAGAACTCCCCCCCCCCTCCTTTGATTCAAGGCCGTCTGTTTCCGAGTCTGAACTGTGCAACTTGGAATCCATAAAATAGCATAAGAACTTGAATCTCCCTAAAACTGATTTTTTTAAAAACTGCAAAAGTGGGGCAGGATTCCAATGCTTTCAAGAACCTGTCCCCCACCTAGCACTCTTTAAATATCTTGGCTTTCTAGAGAGGGCAAGGTTGAGGAAATCTTGAACACATTGGAATCCCTGCAGACAGACAGCTGAGATAATGGGAAGTGCTCTTTGGTTGAGTACGGTAGCTTTTGCACAGAAGAAATTATTTTGCCCAATAAAACTTTCTTCCACCCTTGCAGGTAGAACTCTCCTGAAGAGAGATCCCATCACTTCTGATGGAAATTATACAGAGAAAAGCATATCAAAATCAGAGTTTTTTTAGACTGCAAAAAGAGAGGAGCCCAAAAACTTACGTTTTGCACATTCTGCCACAGATTGAACTGTTAAAGCATCCATGATAATTGGAATTCAGTCCCCAGGGAGCAAGGACAGACCCAATATCTTTACCAAAGCTAAAAGAAAATCCAACAGCAGCAACCTATCAGCAGACCATGATCAATCAAGGCAAATCTTTTGTTCCTCCTTACATTTAATTCCTACATTAGAACCTTCTAGGGTAGTTTCCTGCTTCATGAAGATGTAACTTAACACGAACTCTATGTAGCACAGGGGTGAGTAACCTCTGGCCTTCCAGATGTTGCTGAGCAACAGTTCACATCATTCCTCCTAACTGCCCAGGCTAAGTGAGGCTGATGAGAGCTAGGAGAAGGTGCGAGCTAAATTCTGTAGAATCTTAAGAGTTCTGTAAAAGTATTCTGTCTGCTGATGAGGTGGGCTGTTGACTGCATCGAAATTATACAGAAATGAATCAGGTCTTCAAAAATAGAAAGAGAGACATGGAGGTGATTTTCTTTATGGCAGTCAGAAGGTTGTGAGTCTTGAGACTTGGGTCAAGCAAGCATTTAAGTGGGAACATTAGAGATTCTTTCAAGGGGAAAAAAAGTTAAGAGTTTCTGATTTGTGAAAAATCTTTGTCACTCTCCATTTGGAGGTTTGGCAAAGAAAGCTGAGCAGTGCAAGAGGAGTTTTTTGGGTCTCAAGATCTTGCTTTCAAATAAACTTTCTCCTGTTTTTTCAGCTAATGGTGAATCACTTTTTTAAAGGGTCATTATGAATATGAAGGCCTTTGTCTAGCTCCTGCCCTGATTCTAGGTCTGGAATCCTTTGCTAGTGTGCAACTGATCTTTTCTTTTAAAAAAAAGTCATTCCATTGGGAATCGGACACACAATTGCATATCCTGTCAGGCAGTTGGGTGGAAAGAAAATGTTTTTTTTTTTTACTCTGTTGCTGTATTTTAAGAGGAAATATGTTGCTTCAGTAAAGGAACTACATTATCTTCTAAACCAATGAGCTCCGGTGCGCGGTATCTACAACCCCACCAGTCCCATCAGTGACTAATGACCTTGCTAGGTGGCTTGTAATCTGGCATATGTGCAGGGCATCAGATTGAGGAAAGTGACATAATATTAACTTGTTTATATTGCCATTTAATTGTCATGTTTGTGTTTTCTCATCTGTTGCTTTATTCTCTCCCCCTCTCTTTTTTAAAAAATGGTTTAATCCACTTAACGGTGATAAATCCAGTGATAGGAAAATACAGTCAACTTACAGACTCAGGTATGGTGTTCAGATCCTTTTTTTAAAATGTTAAATATATTTATTGGTTTGGTTTGTTCTTAATGACCCACATGATTTGTTTGACTTTGTTTTCAGTGCAGTGTGAGAGCTGTCCACTCTTAAGTACAGTGATTCTCTTAAGGAAGAATGTTCACCCGTAACCCTTATCCCATTGTCAGATCTCTCTCTGACTGATGGCCTCTGCCGTCAAAGATTCCACCAGTGAAGGAAGGACCACCCAGAATGAAGAGTAGGAGACAGGTTTTGACCTCCGTGTAACACTCTTCCCAAGGGCAGCTTTTCTCTTTACCACAAAGAAATGAATAGATTCTGTTTACTGGATGGAACAGAAGTCGATGGATGAACTGAGTTTGCCCCTGGAATGGGAAGGCAACATTTCTCTGGCTCCTGATAATCCCAGCATTGAGAATCAATCCTGATTCTAGCTGCATAGCCCCTCCCCCTTCATCTGCAACATCATGCCAGGGATTCCAATTTTTTTTTGATCACAGTAGAGTGTGACAGAATGTTTACAGCTGACTTTTATTTTAAACAATATATCTAATTTCACACTCACACCTGAGCTTGCTTTCAAATGGTCTGGAAAGAGCCATTCTGTCAGTAAAAAATGAAAATGCCACACTGACCAAATAGTATGACATAAGTCTTCGTTTTCTGGTAGTTTAGCTACTGTTGCATGTGTGTGTGTGGTGCTCTGCACTAGAAGGGGAAGCTTCATTCCCCTAGCCCTCTTTCAATGAAAACTGTAAAATGAAGTAAGATCAACTGGGAGCCTTCCAACAAAAACAATATTTTCTAGCCGGTGCTTTTCCTCAGTATGCCTAGTATTTAGTTCTAGGCATATGTGCTACTGCAATTAACAAAAACATGACTTGTGCTATACCTACCTCTATGCATTGAGTCATACAAGTAGTTTTGCCTTTTTTCTTCTTTTTCACTATTCCATATTTATAGTACAAAAGGTCAGTGTAAGAGAAGTTAACAAGTTAGCATGGGTGTAAGTCACGCAACAGCAGATGCTTCTGCTGATTCCTTAACTTGCAGCAATTCACCAAGTCAGCAGTTCATCGATTGAAATTTCTGTAAATTGTGTTACGCCTACAAGCATAACTGATAGAATTTGGGTCATAGTTGTATAAAAAGTTAGTAGTACAGTGGAAATGAACAATTTCTTTGTATGTCATTAATAGGTATGAGTGAGACCGTAAAGGACAAATTCTCCACTGCATTCTCCATCGTGGGTATGTTTTCATCACACGCAGTTGGAAGCCTGAGTGTTTTCTTCTGTGCAGAAATCACACCAACAGTAATAAGGTATGGCAATGAACGCCCACCCTGGGGAGCAAAGCGTTCTGAAGTCTCATATTTTCATGCAAAGCGATCCAATGGTACTAGAACACTCTGGTCATCAACTAGTTTTGGGGATGACCACTTTGGGCCAAATTAGGTAATAAGTTGATCAAGTGATTGGCACCAAAGGTTGCTTCCATCAGGGGGGGGCAATAATGCTTGGATGAATAGACATTTTTGTCAGGACTTACAACATGGGAGGAAAATGTATATCTCTCCCACTACCCCTCTCCTTTTGTTTGTAAGGAGGTGGGTAGCCCTCCCCCCCGGCACTGCATCCCAATGGGGTTGGGCTATTGCAAGCTGTTCCAGTTGGATTGCAAAAGGTTGGCTTGGTCATGAACAGGTAATCAAGATCTCTTTGCTTCAGAAAATATATATAGCTATGAGTCAGCATAGCTGCTGGCCTTTTTTGGACTTTCCTTCTAGGTGTAGCTGTGGGACCTGTTATGAGGAGTGCCTGCACTTCCAGATTTACCTCAGCACTGCTGGAGGACTGTGTTACTCTGAGTAGTGTTGACAGCCCAAAGTCAGTCAGGTGGACTCAGCGTTTGAGTGAAGATTTAAACCTCATCTGGAGAAGTTCTTCTCATCCAGTCCAGTTGCCTATTTTTGAGGAGTCATAACTATGCGTCCTTTCTTAAGGAGATCTCTACATCAATGTTTAACAGAGTTTGGAAAAGTTTGGTTGTGTGCATGTTAAGACTTTGGTTAAAGAGAGCTGGGAGTACATGAAAAGGAGAAACAGAGAGACAGCATAGAGCTACCCGTTCAAGATTTTTTCTTCTTCACAGCACAGGGGACAAAGGGTCCATCTCAGAGTCAACAAACTAGTTCCAGCAGTTTTGATTTCCATCTTGAACAGCTTTTTCATAAAGCTCACTGGGCTTTCATGGTCAGAGCTGGTCCAGCTAGGCAGAGTAAAGCAACTGCCTGTAGCAGCAGAGGCTGTGGCAACGTTCTAGCAGTTTCTCCAGAGAATTCCAACCTCTCCCTCCTGGCCCAACTTTTCATGTCTGTCCTCAGCTGGCCTGCTACCCCCAGGTTTGGTGGAAGACATCGTTGTATCAGGAATGTTAAATGAAAGGGTTCCGTGGCTAGTACAATCATTGCCTACACCAGTGGTTCCCAACCTTGGGTTCCTTAGATGTTCTTGGACTAAAATTCCCAGAAACCTTCACCACTAGCTATGTTGACATTGAACATATGGGGACCTAAGATTGGGAACCACTGGTCTAGACACAGAATGGCAAAGGGGCCACTATCTCATCTTTTGCCTCAGGCCTGGTTCCTTGCCCACTGAAGTAGCTTTCCCCAAGCAACTATGATTGTGGCAAAATGGAGAGGGAACAGGGAAGTTTAGGTGAGGAAGGAGATGGCAGAGGCTGTAATAATCCTTGCTGACCCAAAGGTTCCAGAGCTTCAACCCTTCAAGTCTGTACTCCTCCACTCTTTCACCCCCTGTAACAGTTCCATGCAACTGCTTTGAACATCAGCGAATGATGTCCTGTGAAAAAACTGTTTTAATTCTTCTTCCCTATTAAGTGCCCTTTCTCCATTTAAATTACCCCACCTTCCGACTAGAAGTCAATTTAAATCAGCATTTGAGGGAGCATTAGGTTGCAGAAAAATGAGTTAAATACTGTACTCTGTGGAGAGACAGAAAGTGTTCAGTGTCCTCCTTGCAGCAGCTACATGGAGCTGCTAATTGGTTGCTGTTGCTGTTTCAAAGGTAGGGAGCTAAGCTAATACTTCATTGTCTTTACTTATTGTTGGCCAGAATCCTGATGCTTATGTATCCCAGCATAATTGCAGCAGCATAAACCGTAGCAGTAAATTGCTGTGTCTTGGCACACAATGCAGAATACAAATGGTGACTCCTTAACTAGCAGCAATTCACTCTTCTGATTTGTGCCATTGAACTTAAGTTAGTATATATAAACAGTAGAATCGGGCCAACATTTATTTATTTATAGATTTTTCCACATTACTCCTTTATAATCAGATACTATCTGGCCAGCATATTATGAAAACTATAAAAATAAAATAGGAACAGTAAAGCTAAATGGATGTATTAAAAACCATAAAGTCAGCAAACAAAAGATATTAAAATCTAAAATTAGTTTCCTTTGAATTCAATTTATTATGGCAAATTCATCCACAAAATGTCTAAACAGAAACATGCTTTGAAAATCACATACAGTCTATATCAGTTTTCTTTAGGAAGGTGTTCCAAAGTGATAAGGTTAAGGTTGAGGCATAAAATTAGTCATACATTTAAGAATGTCAGAAGCTGAGGTGAAATTATTTTAAAACCTACCAGCATTCAGTCTTTCGAAACAAAGTCCGTTATAAGATGGAGGATATTGTTGAGAATTTTGATTATAACGTGTATTCTCGTAATATCAACAGAGTAAGGAGATATTGGTTAGCAGAGATGCTTATGACACTATAACACTGAGAGAGTAAAACCAACAACATAGTCTATTTACATATATAGATAGAGAATAGACATTCCTCTGGCAGCATAACATGACATGAAGCAACACACACCATAAGAAACAGTGATCTGACTTACAGCAGATAAAGACGTTCATTTTACACATGACTTATATACAGTTCTGTGACCAATCAGAAAACACGTAACTTCATTTTCTGTTACACAAAGTTTCATCATGTACCACAGCTGTACAACATTAAGTCTTAATCCTTGATGCCCACACCTGAATACAATCAGTACAGTGACTCAGGTAAAATCAGTCATTTTACATTTAACTATACAACATTAATATTTAATATATTTTCATATCAAAATCTCAACAGATACTTAGCAATACTACATGCAAGAAGGATCATGAAATTGTTGTAGATCGTAAGCTGAAAATGAGCCAGCAGTGGGATGTGGCTGCAAAAAAAAATTGTTATTTTAGGCTACAGAGGTATAGTCTTCAAATCCCATGAAGTACTAGTTCTATTTGGCACTGGTTAGTTCTGGACGTCACACTTTAAGAAGGATGCAGCCATACTGGAACAAATTCAGAGGAGGACAACAAGGATGGTCGGGGACTGGAAACTGAGCTATGTGAGGAAAGACTGGAAAAACTAGGCATGCTTAGTCTTGAGAAAAGGAAACTGAGAGAAGATGCAATGGCAGTTTTCAAATACTTGAAAGATAGTCATACAAAGGAGGGGCAGGATCCTTGATCATCTCAAAGAGTAAGACATGTAATAATATTCTCAAGTAACAGCAAGCAAGATTTGGGTTGAATATCAGGAAAAATGCCCTAATTGTTAGGGCAGTATGAGGATGGAACCAAAGCAACAGCAAATAAGTACGAAAAAATATAAAAAGCAATCAGGAGTATTATTTGGTATTTACATGCACTTTGACACAAGGCAAAGTCTGATTGATAACGAGTCCAGATTGATACAGATTCAGTGCTCAGACAGCAACATGTATGGGAGCTGTTGAGAGGAAGCTTTTGATATAAAACAGCTTGTTGGGATCTTTAGCATGCTGATCTCTTCGTTCTGGCCACTTCCTCTGATCTCATGCTGCCAAGTGCCTAGGCATCAGTGAATTCTAATGCCTTATGCCAAGGAGTTCATTATCAAGCTGTTTTCATACACTTCAACAAACTGAAACTCCTAATCCTCCTGCAGTAATTGTCGGAACAAGTGAGCACATGAGTGTGTTCACCTCTGAAGAACAGAAAGGGATTCTTTTTTTTTTCCACATCGAGGTAGCTGTGGAAGAGTTGAATAAAGAGTAGAGTTGAGGGACGTTCACCAACTGGCTAAGAAGTTGGCCTTGTGCATTTCTGAACCATTTGCAAGCCAATGGCTTGTAAACCCACTTTGTAAACCTGCAGAAGAGTAACAGCAATGAACAAAAACTGTGCTGTGCTTTTTTTTGGGGGGGGGGAGTTGTCACATGATCAGTTAGTTGCTTTGGGTAACAAATTTCACTTAAACTGCTGGCTTGTTATGTGGGCGAGGGAGTGAATAAGAAATATTAAATATAGCAAAAAGACAGTCCCAGAGTAATAACCAAAGAGTGCCGTCCTGAAGCTTTGCTTCTCTCACAATCTGCCTCTTTTACATCATGGCCTTTTGCAACTTAAGTAGATCTCATCTGAGCTCCAATGGTGGTTTTCTTGAAATACCTCTTCCATTGTGTATCTGCAGAATTTTAGTTAACGAACTGAAACTGCTGTACAGATGATCAGCTAATGATGTTTTTAATTGGATGCTTGCTCAGGATTTGTTAAAAGAAGCAAAATCCAAAATGATAGAAAGGACAAATGATGGTACAGTATATAAACCATTATTTTAGATTTCCCACCACCCCAACATTTGTAGTCCTGTACTATTGTTAAATGGTTATGTAGCTTGACTGTGTCCACTAAATAAATCTGAGGGAAGCCTGCCCCTTAGTGGCAACACAAAATTATTTCACAAGTTAACGTCTCTAATCAGTATTGGTAAATCCACAAAGATTTACTATTGAAAGAGACAGGTAGGCCATATCATTATCATCACAGCTGTTGTATTTTTATAGATTAGCAGTTACTTGTGCTCAGTACTTGCATGAGCTATTCTAGCAAATGTTTTCCTCTTTTAAATGACTGACACTATCATGCAATAGCATCCTTGAGTTCCTTTTAAGGAGAAAGGCAGAGTAAAAATGTTTTGAATGAATGAATGAATGAATGAATGAATGAATGAATGAATGAATGAATGAATGAATGAATGAATGAATAATATTCTGTGAATGAGTGCTTCTTGAAGCAGACTCTTAAGCATAACACTCTGAGTCAAGAAACTTCTCTCTGCTTACTATACTAGCTGGGACTGGGGTATATAAGTAATTTTCATCTGTTCATAATATACAACTATTTGGATTTCTGTGGGTGCTTTATTCTTCTGATTTCTTTCCATTTGTGTATAAAATATGGATATCATTTGGTCCATTTTGATGAGCAGGTTATAACTCTGAATAGGATATTTATTTCTTTGTTCATTTCATTTCTAGGCTGCCTTTCTCCTGGTAAGGGTATTCAAGACAGCTCACAATGATTAAAATAAGTCAATACTAAAAAGCACCATAAAAAACAAGGTTAAAAAACAATCAAACATATGATAATAGTTAAAAAGCAAGTAATTAATTGTATAATAGTAATCAAAAAGCATTTTAAAACTTTAAAAAGAGACTAAAAAAGCAAAAACTCAACTTCAGTTTTTAAAGGCCTAGTCTAGGAAGCAGGTCTTTAGATATTGACAAAAGGATAAAAAAGACAAGACAAATTAAGGTCTAAATAATCTAAACTGGAGCATGGAAAAGTTATTTTTGGGAGTACAGTTTTCAGATCCCTCACACAGTTGTGATGTTCTGGGAATTGTGGCCCCCCAAATTAACTTTTCCACTAAAATGGACTCCTTCTGAAATCTGCTTTTCTTAGAATCATAGAATGATGGAATTGGAAGGCCATGGAGTCCAACTCCCTGCTTAGCGCAGGAATCCAAATCAAAGCAGATCTGACGGATAGCTGTCTAATTTTCTCTTAAATGCCTCCTGCACTGAACCATTCATCACTTTGTGAGGTAATTGGTTCCATTGTCATACTTCTTTGCATTAGAAGAATAGCATATAAGTAATACATATCAGAGGAGGATGTCATTGTCTGTGGAGGACAGTATCCTGCCTGCCGCTGCCCCTTTGACTCTGTTCTGTACATTGTACCATTATATTACTGATTACACGCAGAATGAATTGATTTTGATGGTTATTAAGGATGTGCTTATTTCCTCTCAGGGGCGGAGGGCTTGGCCTTGTCCAGGCGAGCGCCGGCTTTGGGATGCTAACAGCACCCATCATGGAGCTCCACAACCAGAAAGGCTACTTCCTCCATCACGTGATCTTTGCCTGTTGCACCCTCATTTGTATCATCTGCATCCTTCTCTTGCCGGAGAGCAAAAACCAGAACCTGCCTGAGAACATTCCAGATGGGGAACATTACACCCGGCAGCCCCTCCTGCCCCACAAGAAGGGGGAGCAACCCCTGCTGCTGACGAATTCCGAACTCAAGGATTACTCTGGCCTCCATGACTCAGCAGCTGCCGTGAATGATGGGGCGACAGAGAGTGTGACTGCCAATGGGATGAAGGCAATGTAACCCGCAGGAAGGGGCACTGAGGTGCAGGAGCACTTTCTGCAGGAAGTTTACAGACCTGTGCAAGAAGAGGTGGTGGCCCATGGGGAATTGGACTCTGCTGCTAAAGCCACTTCTTGTAGGAATCATTGATTGGGGTACCAATTGCTTTGGAAATGATTATTGGGGGAAGATGCATCTTCAGAGCAAACTGGCTAGAGATAAACACCCATCAGAACATTTTCTTCCAGCCATGAAATGTTTCTATTTATTTTGATGATTTTTTTTTGGTCTTTGTTTCCATTAAGCACTTTATTCTCTTTTTCCTCTGGTTGACCATAAACATGAAATTATGTTGTTTTCCAGAAGAGCAGCCATTCCAAGATAGAAAATCCTGGGGTTTCACTTTGTTTATTGTTTTGTTTTTTCTCGTCTCTTATGTTTTTGTTGAAGGGATGAAGTATCTCTTGCTGTGACAATGAATTCATTGACTACTAATTTTTAGATCCAGTCTCTTCCCCCCCAGTCTTTCCAGATCATCTGACTCTTGATCTTTCCTGCTCCCACCCCACCCCAAGTTTTATCTACTGTATTAGTTTGTATACATTTGATCTGACTTAAAAGTCCAGCAGGATTCTAGGTAGCAGAAATAGAGTTTGGCTTGTGAGCCTAGGTGTATTTTTAACAAACAAAAAACACTTTTCTAAATTTTAAAAGTAGAGGAGTCCACATATTACTTGCTGTTTAAAGGTGAAAACAAACCACTACATAAGCAGACTAATTGTTTTTTTTTTAATGGAGATCAGGAATATAGATTTGAATGAGAAATATGTCTCTTTAGAGAATGTTGGGGATGAATTCTAGAGAATGTCTTGAGAATGTTTATTAATAATAATAAGTAATTTCAAAAGAAATATGGCCAGATAATAAGGCTGTACTATTAGTGGGTTTTAATCTATCAGGAAGCTTTGAAATGATTAGCTAGGTTTTTTTCAAGAGAATATCTCCAGGTTGGGAGTGGAAAATGACAGCTAGAAGAGTCTAGGACTCCTTAAATGCTTATTTCCGAAGCAGCCAGGTTGAATTTCTGTCTATCCCAGCAGTGGTTCAGGAGTGCACTCACACTCCCCAAGGCTGTTTGAGTCTAATGGGAGAATAGAAATAAACTTTGTAAATAAGCCATCTTAATTGGTTACTGCTTCAGATTAGAGGAAGAGGAGTGAGGGAAAACAGGAGTAAGCCATCGAAAGGGTTCTTTGGATGTATAAGTAATGGCTGATGTTCTCTCCATGCGAGACAAAAAAAATAAATAAAAGCCAGCCAAGGTTGCCATATTATCAGCTGGCTGCTATCTTCAACATGAAAATGTAAGAAGAAATGGCCACCATAAGTGCACCAAAATAAAATCCTAAGTGCTCTTGTAGGGTTTCTCATTCGCTTACCCCACCCCCATAAATGAAATCAGCCAGTCCCATAGGATGACCCGGTTGAAAACAAGATCCACCCTGATCCAAAATGCATCTGGAAGTACGATCCATTGAAATTCAACAGGGCTTACTTCTGTATTAAATGGGACATCTCTTCTTTTCTCTTCCTCTATGAGCTGGTGATAAATGGTGCCAGCAATTCATTCTTACGCAAACATAAGGATACATAATAAATGTAAGGATAACGGTTTCTTAGGCAAGAGCCATGCAGAGCCAGCTTCATGCAAGGAAGTTCTGGACTGGTGGCAATTTTGCGTAGCGTTTACTGTCTCCTTCCTGTCTCCTTCCTTCCTAATCATGCATTTGTGATTGATTGCCCAGTGGTCCATCCATTGTTAGAAGTGAATGCCGCAGCCTAATGTGCAGTGATGTGTCGAGCCATCCATTTGACAGTCACTTTGTTTGGTGTCCCTCCTGCATTCATGGGCAAAGGGGGAAAAGATTGTTCCTTCACTTTCCCTTCCGGCCACGTTCCTTCTTTGCTCTGAATATTGTCTGTTGACTAGATCTGTGTTTCTCTTCCCTTCCTTGGTCAGGCTGCCCCGAGCCTAAAAACCACGGCAGCTTGTCATGTTGCAAAAAAAGCTCAGCCACCAGTACTGGCTAGCTAATTGTGGGAGAGGAGAGGGCGCAAAAGGAGCCTGCGGAAGAGGCGAGAGAGTTGATGTACTTGAGAAGAAGAATATGTTGTTTTAAAGCTGCTAACCTTCATGCAGAGGATGAGACACTGGGGGAAATGTTTCTCAAGCTCTGTGACAGAAAAAAAAAAGAAACACTGGATTGTTCCATGGTAAATTCTTGTGTTGTCTTCTCCCCACAGTGGCACTGCTGGGTGTGCCTCAGTGGGACCGGGTGAAAAAGTGCGAGCCCCATCTTTCTTAATGCTCTCTAGGAAACTGGCTCTAGCAAGCAAAATGGCCACCTCGCCTCCTTTCTTCTTTAACATCCGGACTATTTACACTTGCATTGAGGTTAGGGGAGGCCTTTTGAATTGTGCAGTATTCATGTGCCAAATTGTGTGATACCTTTTGCCTTTTATATAAAGGCATATGCTTGTTACAAGCGACTTAGCAGGAATGACAGGTTTTTTGGTAAAATAAATGAAGGGTAAAATGGACTTCTTGTCTAAATGGAGCGAGGCCTTGAACAGCGTTAAAGAGGGAGGGAGGGAGAATTGGTTGTTGACAAGCAAATGCTCTGAGTTAACACACAGCACTTTTGCAATCCATTTATGGAAAAGCTTTTTAATTTCCCACCTCTGTGCATATATTCTTATAGCTCCAGTCATATTGATCCCTGCCCCCAGCAGTGTATGAAGTTTATTGCCTTTTAACACTTTTTAAAGACCCTGTTGTGCTCATTTTGATCATCGGCTCTGCTTTTCTCGTTTTCTGTTCCATTGTGATGCTCCTTAGCTTTACAACTATGAAATGCAATAGGGAGAGAACTGTGTTAATCTGTTTAAAGAAGAATGTGACAGGAGCACTTGGTGATTATTTTAAAAAAATACAATTTTTATGAAATCAGTTCTTTTGGTTTTATTTTGGTCTGAAATCTCAGCTTTTGAATTGGTATTTTACAGTTTGTTCCCAGGTCATCTGATGGTCTCTGGTTTCAGAAGCTATTCCCTCAGTATTTTGGCTGAAGCGATTAAAAGGCCAAAATATTCAGAATGTGTCTAATAATGTGGGTTGCATAACTGATCAAGGCAGCTTTTGGTGATGAGACAAGACAAAGACTAAATTATCAAGCCTAACTGTCCTTGGCTGCTCTTCTGAAGACTAGTTGTGTCTCATAGTCTGCCAGATACCTGACCACTTTCCAGATCAGAGCTTGGAAAACCTTTCACAATCCCAAACAATAACTTTTCCAAGTTGTTCCAGATAGAATCCCTCCTGGTACTACCAAGCAAAAGGCATTCTGCAGATAGGTTATCTTTTCCTTCTTGACAAATCTTTGTAAAGAAAAAAAGGGAAAAGACAGAACAAAGTTACAAATGGGCAATAACGTCTGGACCCCCTTTGAGGCAGGATAAATGCACCATAAAAGCTTTATTTGCCAGTATTCCTGGTTCTGAAGTCCCACACAGACAGAGGGAAAAACCAGGTTTCTTGAATAGCCAACAGGCCACAAGCTCTGCCTTTTCGGCTGTGTTCAAATTAATGGGTTTTGAGTTGTCATAATCTTGATGTAGGGTCTCCCATGGCCACTTCTGTTGCATGAACAGGGAGAGTGCTATGACATTTTTAGATTTTCATTTCCTGCCAGGCTTGCTTGTTGGCCTGGGTGCTTCATGGTGCATCTGCTATGGGTCCTTGCCTGTCAGTTACTTTGGTTAGATTGGCATCTGTGACCAGATTCTAGATGTCATTGGACAGCAATTCTCATCAGCCCTGGCCAACATGGTCAGGGATGAAGGATGCTAGGAGCCATCGCTGAACATATGGATGGCCATAGTTGCCCACTTCTGAATTGGATCTTCTGTCTAACCTCTCTCATGTGGTCTGTATGTGTAGCTGGCACCTTCTCTGCCTGGATACACAAATGGTTTGGGCACTTAGCCAAAGGGCATCAAATGTGACCAACCCACACTCAAGGAATCACAGAGGACCTGTTTGCAGCCCACTTTGCAGTGAGTTTTTATTGTGCATTTGCAACACTGAACAAGAAAAACAAGGGGCAAAGATGGGGATGTTAAGGTTTGTTTGTTTTTGCTAGTATGCAGAATGTTCTGAGCTTTGGAAAGCTGTCTGGGGAAGCTAGGAATTGTAGGCCAACAAAAGTAACTTCAAAACTTTGGGTACGTCACAGGTCTGCAATACAGGCACAGTTAATGTGTGCTTATTAATTTTGTTACTGTCTTTGATAACCAAGATCTGCTGTTCTTTTGTTGTGTTATTTGTTTGCCTCTTTATGGCAAAAGGAGACGGACGTGTAATCATAGGCAACAGTCCCTTTTAGCCGTACTTTTAGCTGACTTTGAAAAAAAAAAAACTGTAAGTAATAAAGGACGGGGAATTTTGGCCCTCTGGATGTTTGGGACTATAAATCTCATTATCACTGATCTTGGTGGCCAGAGCTTCTGGGTACTGAGGAAACCCAAAACAACCAGATGGCCAAAAGTTCATCAATCCTACCTCAATTATTTGATGGTACTCTTTTTTTAACCTAAAAAGGGGCTACTCAAAAGAAAACCTTTACCCATTGAGGAATTAACGTCTATTGGTCACTCTCTTCAGGGGGGGCAGGTCTGCCAGTATGTATTTGTAAGTAGCCCCTCTTGTATTTATCAGGGTCCCAATAACACCCAAAGCCATATTGGCAGAGGTGGCCATGGCTTGCAGGTACAAGGTGTTGGTTGCTTGAGGGCAGGCTGTTAATTGGCTTTGACCAGAAATGTAGTGCCTTTTTTTGTTACTGGCACTAAACAATAAACAAGTCTTCAGTACTAGAGGAAAGTACAGACCAGTTACGACACTTCATCCCAAGCTGCAGCCATGGGTATCTTGATATGAAAAGCTATAGGGAAGGAGCTGGATCTTTGTAGTTGTGTTGGGAATTGGGAACAATTTTTTTCTGGACGATAACTTCCAAATTCTCCTGGCCTGTGGCCCTTGTTGGCTGAGGGATTCTGGGGATTGCAATCCAGGAAAGCAGCTTTTACAAGCTCTTCATCATATGCTCCTGTCAGCTCCTGGTATTGCACAAGAAACCATCCAAAACCATGAAATGCCAATTCAGCCTCTAAATGTGCAACTAGAGGACCAACTGAAAACTCTGGCTACAATAGATTGGGGATGAGTTGAGTTCTTGCTCATTGCTAGATATGTTGCTAGATGGCATATACTATTTGGAAACAATGTAGGAAACATGGGTGTAGAACCAAGCCAGACCATTATTCTAAGAGAAGGAAATACACGCCCCCTTGAAGTTCATCCCAGTAGGGAAAGAATTCAGTAATTTATGATTTGCCCAGACATGGGATGTGGAACACCTGGCCCTCCAAATATTGCTCAACTGGAATTCTTGCCAGTATGGTCAGTAGTGAAGGATCATGGCAGTTCTAGTTGCAACATCATGTGGAGGATCACAAATTTCTATTTTTTTTTTAATTTTTTTGCTAACTTTGTTTTCTGTAAGCCAAGATCAACCTGTTTCTCTGGCACTTTTAATCATTTAGTGTAGAAAATGTTTCCTTAGAAACTTCTGTAACAGCATGAGAGTTAAAAATCAGGACAACTTCAAAAGAGGAAAAAAGGTTTTTCTGTATCAAATTATGTTACCAAAACACTATAAAGATGGGACTGATACTTTTTTGTACTTCCAGGAGTGGGTTCCTCTTTGTGTGTTCTAAATAATTGGAGGTATTTGTTTCGTGACTTAACATGAAGTATTTTTTGTTTATGTTGCCAGCTTCTGTAAGCCAAACAAAAGCGAGACGAAAAATCACCAAACTCAAAAGTGCCATTAAAAAAAAATGAACTCTGAATGTCATCTCAAGTTACATCTGTAGCTGGGACAGAAAGAAGTGTGGCAGATCTTTCACACTTGATTTTTTAAAAGAAGAGTCAAACAAACCTCATTTTTCAATGTACTGTGTGTGCAAACATTTTTGGGGAATTGAGTAGTGTGCAATGTCTGTAGTGGGTGAGATTTCCCTCCCCCCCACCCCAATTTCTGATGAAGTTTTATTGACTAATTGTTGTTACTGTATGGGGTTTTTTTTGATCACAAATAGTTTGGTGCTTCTTCATAGCACAAGCTTAAAAATCAACTACTGAACAACTTAAGTCTTAAAAGCTAAATGTCTGCATGATGTTACATCCGTTGTACCTACTGAAACAACTTTGTATGTAAATGTACAGGAATAAAAAGATGTTGCCCTGTTAGCACCCCACTTCCTTGCTTGTCTTTCTTCCCACTGGTGGCCCATTTACTAGGGCTACGTATCCTGCTCTGCTTAGCTTTGAAAGCTCCTTCAGACCTATGGCCAAGCCCACGTGCTTCCAGATGCAGCTGCAGCATACAGTTAAAAGAGAGGAAGGACAGAAATACTACTGGTTAAAAGAAGATTGTGAACAGATGTTTATGGAGGGAGGCTCAGTACTATGTCTCCATAGTAAAAATGGTCAGAATTAAGCATGCTTTTACAACAGTTAGATAGATAGACAGACAGACAGACCTTGAACATAACACACCAGACATATGGTGGAGCCTCGACTTACAAACGTCCCTACATATGAACAACTCCATACACATAATTTTACTTTGACTTGCAAATGGAGCTTCAACTTACAAACAAAAAAACTGGGGAAAAGGCGGGAAATGCACTTTGGACTGCCCAGTACTGCCTGGTACTGTAATTTTAAAATGCAAAAATTGGTTTAAAAGATGCTTGGTTTGGTTTCAAGCTGCTTGGTTTTAAAGGTGTTTTGGTTAAAAGCTGTTCGTTCCTCCCTCTCTCCTTCCTGCCCTTTTTTAAACCTTAGATCATCTTAGGTTTAAAAAAATTCTCCCCCTAGTGATAGAGGATTAATTAAACACTTTTGCTTTCGCAGTGGTAGAGGATGGATTAAACACTTTTGCTTTCGTTCCTATGGGAACATATGCTTCGACTTACAAACCGTGCTTCTACATAAGAACAAAAAACAGCTGGAACGGATTAATCAGTTTTCAGTGCATTCCTATGGGAAATGCGTATTCGACTTATGAACATTTCGACTTACGAACACCATTCTAATACAGATTAAGTTCGTAAGTTGAGGCACCGCTGTAGTAGTAATAGAACAACGAGATGTCTGGATCACTGACATTGCAATTCCAGGGGATGCAAGAGTTGAAAATAAAGAACTGGAAAAACTAACAAAGTGCAGAGACCTGGCAATAGAAGTCTCTCTAGAAAAAACACACTTCAGTGGTCCCCGTAGTCACTCGGGCATTGGGAACAATATAAAGAAATTTCACACAGTACTATAAGCAGCTGCAGATCTCAGAAATCACACCATTAGAGCTACAAAAAATGGCAATATTAGGAACAACATACATACTGCACTGATATTTAACAGATACTTAGGTTTTTGGTTAAAACTTGTATCTGTTGTATAATACCCGTCATGTTTTTATATTTTTTACTGTACCTGGTGTTTTTGAATAATAATAATAATTTTAAGTAGGTAATTTGACCTTAGTACTTCAGAACGAGAAAGGAATTCAGATACAAAATATAAAAACAATATCAATTTAGATCCCTGAAACAGGAAAATGCAAGGTAAGCCATTTCTAATGGTTGTTGTGGGTTTTTCCGGCTCTTTGGCCGTGTTCTGAAGGTTGTTCTTCCTAACGTTTCGCCAGTGTCTGTGGCCGGCATCTTCACTGGAGCACAGAGTGCTGTCCTGGCAAAATGTTAGGAAGAACAACCTTCAGAACACGGCCAAAGAGCCCGAAAAAACCCAGAACAACCACTAGATCCCAGCCGTGAAAGCCTTCGCGAATACATTAAGCCATTTCTGCCTGTAAGAATCACTCCACACCTCCGTGGAAGTTGATCTGGCCTCATCCATAGCAGGAACTCTGAAAGATTATCAATATGGCAAAAACAAGGTGCCTCAAACCCTTTACAAGCCTGAGTGACAGAATGGCAGAAGTACAGGCACAGGCTACATACTGCTCCCACCCTCAGAAACCCAGCATCCTTAATTTTTTTAATCTTATTTTTAAATGGGCTACAAGAGCCTCCTTGCACTCTCCGATGGGCACGTCCACCATGTTCTGGTGCCTTGCTTTGCTGACGTGTGTTTTTTTCCCCAAAAAACTGGAGCTCACTTAGAACAGCTCAGGAGCCCCTAGAATTGTGAAATTGCTCTCTATGACCATGGGAGACATTTTAAAAAATAATAAAGGCAAAGTATTTTGGAGGTGAAGGGACTCTGGAGTAGCACCACATACTGCTGTTCCAAGAACGAGCTTATAAAGCTCCTGGAACTCTGAAAGTTGTTGATGGCTGCTGTGATACTCAGTACTTTTTAAAAACATTCTCCTTAGCTCTTCAGTCCCAAAAAGGCTTCCTGCACCACTTATCCATCAATCTGAAAAAAAAAAAAAGCAACTCGAATGCTGTGTTATCTTCTTTCGAACAATTCTGCTGACATAGCAGAACATCTACACGGATGGTGTCTGCAGTTCAACGGTTGCAGTAATTTATTTAAAGCCTTGACATGCTTTGGAGGACTGCCCCAGACAGTATGAGCTACCGTCAGGGTTATGGGACATGCAGCGTCAAGCAACTGCATATGAGAAAATGAGATCACTGTAGATGATATGAAGAAAAAAATAACCATGCAAATGCAAGAATAGCTCATACTTTTACAGACCACTAAAACAAAACAAAACAAAAAATAAATCATACCATATGCTGGCTTTCATCGATAAGGACCACTTCCTCAGGCAGGTACCTGTGTGTTTAACTTACCATATTTTTCCATTTATAAGGTGCCCCCATTTATAAGATGCCCCCCAACTTTTCTAACCCAAAAGTTAAGAAAACTTAGCTTTGAGTATTCAGCCTCGGCTCATAATGCTCAGACATTAGGAGTCCCTGTTGAATCTGAGCCTCAGCATCAGCTGACATCAGTTCCATAAAGCTCGTGATTGGAGGAAGCCAAGTCTCCTGGCTGTAGGAAGCTAAGCCTCATGGTTGAAGGAAGCCTGTTTACAGAGGCAAGGCACAGGCCATTTTGTTCTCTCCTCAGCTTCCTTCTGTGTCTAAGATACCCCTCAATGTTTAGTGTAATGATTTTAGGAAAAAGTATCTTATACAGTGGTGCCTCGCTTAACAAGCGCACCGTTTAACGACGAATCTGCATAGCGATGTGGATTTTGTGATCGCAAAAGCGATTGCATTGCGATGTTCCTAATGGCCAAAAATCACATTGCAATGATCGGTAAGCGTTTCGCTTACCAATCTTCGCATTGCAATGTTTTAAAAACAGCTCATTGGCGGTTCCAAAATGGCTGCAGGAAGAAAAAATGGCCACCCGCGGCGTTTTCACGTGGTTTCCTCACATACCGGGCGACGAAAATGGCGGCCATATGGAGGATGTCCACATAGCGGTGAGTTTTCCCCCATAGGAACGCATTAAATGTGTTTTAATGCGTTCCTATGGGGTTTTTAGTCCCGCATACCGACGAATCCGGATAGCGACGATTTTTTCAGAACGGATTATCGTCGCTATGCGGGGCACCACTGTACATGGAAAAATGCAGTAATAGCCATATGTACAATGTTCAGGAGATCCTGTAGGTGGCAATCTTAACCAAACAATGCTCCTTTTTTGTTCTAAAAATACCCTCTCCACTTGACATGGCCTGCTTTATGGTTAAGACTTTTTATTGTGAAATTGCCCTGCCTCATTCACAAAATGGGGGAGGGGATGGAGAGATTGTATTCTTTCACTCGCAACTTATTTTTCCATTCTGTCTTTTTAATTAGAAGATAATCCATTAAAAAAAAAGAAAAAACAATGACATAATGTCCAAGAACGTTGAGCCACTCTGAAACACCTCTTATGCCCATTTCACACACATGAATTATACTAAAATGAATGCTGCTATCCAAATAATGTCCAAAAATTAAAGGAAAAAAACAGTAAGCTCTTGGCCTTTTAATGCGAAATATATATCTATATACACATGTATGTACAAAAAGAATCATATAGAAACAAAAAGGCAATTACATTACAATGATACCAAGCTAAAATTTGTCTGGAAAAGCTGCCATTTCTTCCTTGATGCGATTTTCAACAAGCAGAATGAAGCTATTGTCTGTATTTTGAATGTTATAACTGACAAAAATCTGTTTCTTAGTCTTGCTGGCTGGAAGATAAAACAGAGGATCATCAATATTCTAGGGAAGAAAAAAGGCAGTTAAACAGGCAACCTGTAGCAGTAGCAGAAAAACCAGTACTGGGCCCAAAAAGCTATCATAGCGAGCAGAAATTAGTCTGAGAGTCAGCCAGTAGGGGAAGGGCAGGCGCCTACTCTGTCAGCAACTGGGGAAATTCAGTGAGTTAGGTCTCTGGCTGAAGAGCCAGAGGTTGGGAGCTGGATTCCCTATGGTGCCTCCCAAGGATAGAGCCAGCCTGTGTAGCTTTGAGCAAACTGCACTGTCCCAGGAAACCCCAGTGGAAGGCACTGGTAACACTTCTAAATACTTAGAAAATCCTGGAAGGGGTCATTATATGTTGGAATTGATTTGATGACACACAATTATTTTATCTGTATAATGCTCTAGACATGGATTTTTTTTTCAGTCTTCAGGACTGAAATAAACAGTTTTAAAGAAAATCTCTTTTCCCAGAGTTGTTTCCATCTGGATGTACTAAAAGCAGGGGTGGGCAAAAGGCAGCCTTCCAGATCTTGATAGATGCCGATTCCCATCAGAGTCAGCCAACGGTGAGGCATGGTGGGAGTTGCAGTTCAACATCTGAAGGACTGTGTCCCCACACATAACGTTTAAAAGATGTATGTGCACATACCTAATCTTTGGGCTAAAGAACTGGAGGTACTATCAGAGGCATCACCAAACAGTAAGGTAGATGCTGGAATGGAGTCCTGGAAACAAAGCAAAAGTTCAGTTAGTACTTTCTGCCCCTGTCTCCTGGGATATAATTATGTTATTATATATGCATACCTTGCTCCCCAAAGAGGAAGCAATGTTACAACAGGACACTGGACAACAAAATCTTGCTCAGTGCTTTTGCTCCAGCAGCATAAGCAATTCAGAAGTTACTTTCAATCTCTGAGGAGCAGGTGTTGCCTCAAAACTGTGTGGCCACATTACAGGCATGTAAGCATCACACGATACTGAAATGCCTATGGACTACAACTTAGAGCACACCACAAAGTTGACTCTCCACCCTGTCCACTGCAGTCTACAGCCAAGCCCTATGATGCAATCATATCTGGTCAGGGTCAAAGACTACACAAAGACTTCAAACTCAAGGATTTACATCGTGCATTTCCTCACATTGTAAAATCCAACCAATGAATAAATCCAGTCAACATAGCTACCCTGGATCAATTTAAATTGAATTCCTGAGCAAGAAGAAAAATAAATTCCTTAGTCCCTCCCCTTGAGAATCATGGAGGGAAGCTCACACAAGAATGCTATCACCATCCATAGTAAAGAGTTGTCAAATAATGATGACAACATGATGACAGACCTAAAAATAAGGCGCTGAAAAAGTGGGGCTTCCCAGGGCAGAGATTGACTTAAAGTGCCCTTCCTTTAAGCCCAGGACAAATGTTGTTGTCCAACTGCAACTCTCCTGTGATCCTGTCCTACCTGCCAGCTACAGCTAATGGAGACCTCAGACAGTCCAACATATGGAGAGGAGATCAAACATTTAAAAGACATCTTATTAAAAAGCACCACCCCGATAACAATTGGGGTGGTGCTGCTCCGCCCTGAGCCATAGAAATAACTACATCTCTACTCCCCACATTAAAATCAGAGGGTTTTTCTCCCCGATGAGCAGCGACGTGGAGAGGGGGGATCTGCTGCTTGGGTAACAACCTATCCTCCATATTACCTTCATGCTCTGGAGAGGACACTCTCCCAAGTCCTCCATACAGAGCACATTGCTATAGTCTCTGGAGACTGAAGGATACCTATGATGATGAGATGCAGATTGGCTTCTGGACTACAACTCCCAGAATCCTTCAGGTAGTACAGCTGCCGGCCGGACTCTTGAGAGTTGCCGTCTAGCAACATAGATCTGCACACCGCGCTGAACGTTTTTATGTCTCACGCCCACGCCAGCCTCTCTCCTGCGCAGATGGGTCCTCAAGGTAGGGACCCACCTGCGCAAGAACCGGGGAAAGGCAACCAGCCCCACCACCATCACCATTACCGCGCCGCCCCTTCTCTCCCCGTGCTCC